TCCTATTTAGCTAAAATGTTTGAATGTATTGGGCACCATCGGTTGTACCGCAAATAGATCTTAAGTGGCTTATTTTAAATACGACACCCTAATATTTTTGGAATTACTCAATATTTTAGGCACATTATTTGAATTATGTCTTATACCTAGGTCTAAGCGTTTCTGACATATTAGGGTTATAAAACGTCATTTTTGACACAAAAATTTAAATGTGTCAAAAACGCTTAGACTCGTGGTGTTTTTTACTGGCACTGACACTGAGTGTTTTCTCACTTTCTTCTTTTCCGTATTGATAGACAAAGATACATGTATAATCAGTGTGCATTGCCGGTGCCAGTGAAAAACACCATTAGGTTTATGAAATTTTTTCTACATCTGGTTTCTGAGATATCGATCCACCCTATATATATATACACGGAAAAAAAAATTATAGAACAAATTTCTACAATTATAGATTTTTTCTCTACAATAATAGTACATATAGGGACAGGGACAATTTGTAGTAAAAATTTACAAATATTTGTGGAGAATGTATTGTAGAGTTATTATCTACAATATTTAGTAAAAATATCCAAATGCATCATAAGAATTGTTCTACAAATTGTTATAATTTTTGCTATTCATTGTATGAATTTATATTAAAAATGTATTGCTCTTTATGAAAATAAATACGAAAATTTTACACAATAAATAGTAAAAATTCATACAAATTGTAGTAATTTTTAATAAAACTTGTAGTAGTATTCCATAATTATTATAATTATAACCTAGAAAAAAAATGTTCCTTAATAAAATATTCAATTTATTGTTTTAAATATAAAAGATACAAAGTCTTAATTACATTATGTAATAAATAACAGTAATAATAGCACCCTCAGTCTCAGTTGGCTTTTCTGCACCTGAAAAATATGAAATAAAAATTAATAACAATTGAACTGTTCATACCCTTAAAACGGGGATATTTATCACCTTTACACTGATTTGGATATTAAATGACTAACAAAAATGAGAAAGTAGGTATGTCGCAATTAAGACAAAAAACATCATTGAATTTGACACACAATTCGATCGTTGGGCACAACATTCGATCGTTGGCCACAACTATTTTTTTAAAAATAATCTACTAAGGTTATTTAAATTAGTTATCTAAAGGTAAATTATTCAGAAACAATAATAAATGTACTTACCATCAATAGAATTTATTATTAAAATTTTCTCAAACGCATCGGTGCTTATAATATAATAATGTGTAATAGGTACTCGTATATGTACCATGCTTTGTTATGTGAACATGGCGAACGGCTACTGCTGTCTGGCCATTTATGATCGACGTCAGAAAACGTTGGCCAATAGCAGAATTCTGTTTTGTTCACATGACTTAGAATTTCTACAATATTATAGAATATTTTTGAACAAAATTGAATATTTTTCATAAGAAGGGATGTAAATTATTACTATTTTTTGTAGAGATAATTATTAATTTTTGTACAAATTTTTTCAGAAGTTAGTAGTAGTAATTACGATAATTGTAATAAATTTCTACTTCTACAAACAATAGTAAAATATACTAAACATTGTGGAATTCATTCCTATTGTTGTAGTATTTTATTCGACAATTCAATTGCTACAATAATGAATAGTTTTTAACTATAAATTGTAGTAAAATTTTCTACAAATTGTTAAGTATTTTTCTACAAATCTACTACTACAACATTGTAGTAAAATTTTCTAGTCACATTTTTTTCCGTGTACACAAAATGTTTAATACCCATAAGTTTAAAAAGAAATGACCTAAAAGTTTTATCTACTTACAAAATATGAACCTGGTTATCAACCGAATTAACGACGACATCTTTTGTTAAATACGGAAGACCTGCACGTCTGGCTCTAAAGAAAAAAGATACACATAAAGTAACTGTGACATTTCTACATTAAATTGTAAATATTTTCTCTTAGAATACAGATATTAATTGGTCGGATTAAAATGCTTTTAAATTTAGTTTCTTTATAATCACAGAGTAAAGCCAAAAATACTTTTAATTTTTTCTCTTTTCGCAATATAGGTTTGTAAACCAAAATAACTCTTAATAAACTAATTCAAAATAAGCGGAAATAAATTGGTACTCAGATACTTACAAATTATATTTTTCAAGATTTCTATGCTTCTTTCTCTTCGCACTTAAAAAAAGTCCTGTTTTTTTACTTATTCTGAGATCTCTTTCCATATTTTGCTTGTCTTTTTCACTAATTAACACTACAAAAATCACCGTAACAACAATAAAAAAACTACCTTCACTTGTGTCTCAAATGCCGTACGTAGATGTACTAAACAACAGCGAACTGAGAGTACATTGTGAGTACATTCAAAACAAGTCAATACTTGAATGGGACACGTGTGTATCTAGGGAGGGGGGTACATATGACTTACGGAAAATCGCAGCCTAATTTCTTCTTTCTTATGTGTATTAATTGGGGGAACTCAAATGGTATATTTCAAGTAGCGAGCCAAGTCTGCATTTCAACTAAACGCTATTAACTATTCTGAAAATATCTCGATTTTTGTGATAAAACAATAGGCAAAAATACAATTTGAACGAATTCCACAATAATTACATAAAATCAATTTTGTTTTAGCATCACAAAATAGTATAAAAGGCAATTTCTTTATTAAAAACTAGAATAACTATTTACTATTTATAAATCTGAACTCCGGTCCTGCAACGCCAGCGTGTGTCAAGAGAGACAAGGAGGGACACAATAGAACCGAAATGAATGATTGATGCCGGTTAAATTTAAATTTTATGCAGAGGTCGACAATTAATCTAGTATTTTTTTTAAATTTCGACTAATTATGACAAATTTTGTACCAAATAAAAGATAAAGAATAGACTTTACCTCGGGTAATAATAGATTTTTTAATTTTGTCTTAGTTTGCCCTGGATGCATTTTTAAATCTTAACAAAGAAAACCATTTAATTGGAAAATTTCAGACTCGTTTAAGATACTAAAAAAATTCTAATCTAATTTTTTATTACTACTCAAGGAAAGACCTGACCTTTTGCATATTGGAGGTTTTTAATTGACAATGATATCTTATACGGTTTTCGAGAAAACAGATTAATCAGGCACCTATGCAGGATAGGGCGATTAACCAAGCGGTAGCCGACTCTTAAATGAATATCTCGATCTTATTCATATAGTGTCAATTAAACATAATCTTAAACTCGATAAAAATAAATGTCATCTAATCCTATTTGGAAACAAAAAACAATGGAATTACCTTAGTCAAAGTTTTTCCATAAAAATTGATCAACTAACTTTACCTATAGCGGATTCTGTTTGACTCTGATCTCAATTTCCACTCGCATGTAAACAACCTTTTAAAAAAATCATTTTAGACTTTAAAAAAGTTATATTCCATAAGGCACAGTCTGTCTTGGAAGGTGAAAAAAATGTTATCAGAGTCAGGGTTAGCAGGTTTTTGAAAGAGATGACGGACAGACGGGGGTCATTTTAGGGGAAATAGGGGGAAGTAAAAACAACTCTATTTTTATTTTTTTAATCAAAATTACTTATTTTGTAAAAAATCCGTACCTAATTTTTGGTGTTTTTACAAACAATGAGGTGAAAATGTTTCTGACTTTGGATGTCGATTTGCAATTTCTCGATTTTCTAACTTTACATTTTGACCTTATTATTTGTAAAAACACCTCAGTATATCTTTACCAAAATTAGGTAAGGATTTCTTGCAAAATAAATAATTTTGATTAAAAAAATGAAAATAGACAGAGTTGTTTTTACTTCCCCCTATTTCCCCTAAAATGCCCTGTCTGTCCGTCATCTCTTTCAAAAACCTGGTAACCCTGATCTGAGTCCTTAGTTTTGTCTATTTTCTCATATGGTGATGTGGTCTATAGAAATTTTATTGATTCTAATACACAAAACCGCAAACAAAAAGTACAACATTATTGTGCTAGATTTATTTATGGACTTCGAAAATATGATCGAGTATCTCATAAAATTTATGAACTTAAATTGTTAAAAATGAAAAATAAACGTCAATATAATTGTATTAATTTCTTGTATAATGTCATAAAAGGAAATAAACCAAAAACTCTTTTGGATAAGTTAGTTGTGAGATCAGCACTGCACCCTCTAATAATTCAGTCATGTTTCAGAAATAATTTACCTACCAATCTGTTAAAATTTATAATGAATACTTAATGAAGCAAATACATCATCCACAACATATTTTCCAAAAAAAAAAATTAAAGAATAATATACTCTCACAGCAATTTTAATTCTTTAAACTTTACTTTTCAACTATTTTTAAATAATTAATACATTATATTACTATTCTACACCTATTCTATTTTTTTATATTTTCTTTGTCATCGTGTAAAACGGAAACGATGTATTTTCGGACACATGTTTATATGAGATTTTAAAATATTTCCCTTGCCATAAAGCTATATATCTTAGACTACTCTTTGCAGAGGCACGAGTGTAATGTATAATGTACAATAATGTATAATGCACTTTAAACTTCTTTACTATGCCCCATAGGTTTGCTTATTTATCCATATCTCAAATAAACTGGTATATAAGAACGTACCTAATTCATCTACTTTTTCATACAAGGTATCCCAAAACGTACTGACAAACTTTAAAGGGTGATAGGGGACATCAAAACAAACTTTATTTGTTTAATAAATATGTTCGCAAATGAAGTTGTTTGGGTAATAAAATATTTTAAATCATTCCAAATAAATAAATTAATTAATTAATTCTTCATTTAGTTAAACAGCACTGTCTTTTGTTCGACATGTTTTGTTTCAACTACATTTTTTTTGTTGGGAAATGTTGAATTTATTAAAACCTATATGTCTACACTGTATATTTAAACTTCTAATTGGTTATTTAAACTTCTAATTGGTTATTTAATTAAATCAGTTAGAGTTCTCAGAAATCCAAAGTGACAGTTCTAAATGTATACTTACTTCAAGCAGTGAAAACATGGTAAAGAGATCGCTGAACAGTAATTCATTGTGCTTATTTTCAAACAAATTTAATAATCCATTTTTATTAAGGCAGGTCCGACAAATTTCTTGATATTTTTCAGGAACAGCTTCAATTTCATGGCTCTCTAGAATTAATAGAAAATATACATGAAAAACTATATCAGGTACACACTTAATATTTTTAATCCACACTAGACAAACTTAATATACAGTCTGCACCATATGGAAAACTCTTAATGTTAATTTATTTCTTAATAAAAACTAGTGTTTGACTTTAAAACTTAAATAAAATTTATGAATTTTAAAATTTTTGTATCAATCCAAAATAAATGACAACTATTTTGATGGATCAAAGAATTAAAAGGTGGTTCATGCACAAAATTATATGATTTTCTAATCTAGAGATAATAAATATCGATCTTCTTTTATGCAACTCAGTAATAGTGGCTGTTATATTGAGATGTTACTAATACATGGCTTGATGAGCCAAGTTAAAAAATATAACTTTTATAAACTGCACTATATCGACATAGTGCAGTTTTCCTTCCAGGTACTAATATATTTATAAAAGCTTCCTTACAAATACCTCTTCCTAGTTCTTGATCTACATCTTTTAATGAGACTGTAGACAGTCGTCTTTGAACCTCATTTTGAAGAGCCACTTTTCTTGGAGTTGATTCTGAAGTAGTTCTCTTCACAACTAAAATAATAAACAAAATTTTAAAGCTATTACAATGGTTGGTTTTAAATATTTTTATTCCTGTTTTAGAAATTGAACAAACAACAAAACAAAAACTTTGAATTGATTACCTGTTTCTGATGTACCTGGATCAGGAATATTTGCAGATACATTTTCAATATTGTCTTGTATTGCCTCTTTCAATACTTCCCTAGACACACTACTGCCTGCCGATGTTGAAACATTCACATTAACTCCTACAGATAAATATGTGTTATTTATTCCTTATAATTAAAAAAATATAAATACCTCTAAAACCTACACCATCATCGAATATATCTGGCACTGCATTTTTCTTTAATCTTATTCCAGAAATAAGATTTGGAGAGAAATGAACACTACAGACCCGTTTTGAAGTCACTGCTTTTGGATCTCTTAGGATCCACTCTTCTCTCCCAATTAATGGCAACCAAATCATTTGACTAAAATAAAAATAAATCATTCAAAGGTACAGTGCCTCAATCAATCCTTAATAAAAGTCAAAAGATTGTTCTCCAAGAAAACAAGTTTGGTTTGCTTATATATCTACTCTTATATAATAAATAAAAACGTATTAACAGATCTTACCTTTTAGTGTCGGAGGGAATAGAAAAAAAACTCAATCTTTTACTATTTTTAGTATTGTTTTTGCAATTAAACACAAAGCAATAATTAACCATTTTCATCAAAAATAAACAAAAGCAAACACGTAACCTCACAAAATTCCCAGGAACTGTCAAAGTCAAAATGCTGCCTGTTGGCATCTTAGATAATATATGTACAGATAGGCTACCACTGCATAAATCTATACAATGTTGATGTCGCTCTAATAAAATCATTGTTTCTTTTTCTAATGCAGGCTTTCTCGCTCATATTGGAATCATCAGCAGTAGCGTACGTAAACGGATTGCGTTGGGTTATTTTTTAAATGTGAAAATAATGACTGCAAGTAGATGAAAAAATACAAAATAATGTTTTTAAAGATAGGTACGTTTTTATTGAACTGAAAACAAAATATGACATTATTGTTATGTCAAAAAATATAATAATCCAAATTAAAAAAAAAAAAAAAAAAAAATATTGCAAAACATATTTTATTGCTTCTAAAACATTTAAGTTTACAGCAAGGATTTGGAATTTTATAAAATATCTATACCTATTGAAAACCTATACAATAGTAGAACTGAAGAAATATATATAATAAAGCATTTAATTTAAACATGAAAAAATATACACCTAATAAGAATAAAACACCAATATATATTTACCTATTTAGCATAAGTAGGTAGAAGTATTTCAGGATATTAAAAAAATATATAAGAATTTTATTTAATTTTCTAATGACCTCGTTTAAAATATAAATTATCTAGTTTCTTTATTTAAATTAGGTAACTAAATATTCTTATATTACTGATGATAGTTTATATTTTAGACCATGCATAAATATACAGTATATGCGTCCAAAAACTAATAACATATTTTTTTTCTTTTCAAATCGGCAATTCTGCACTAATTTTTTGATATTATAGACATACTTTTTCACTCAACTTAATTGTGTCTGTAATGTTTTATTTCTATTTCGTAAGTTTGAAGCAGTACTGTTGGCAACAAAAAAGTCTTTGTAATGACCGATTATCTAGAGACTTCAATGTAAAGTTACCAAAATATCTAGGTTTTCTGAAAGAAGTATTCATATAAAATTCAATGTACATACCAGCTTAGATCAAATCCAATGTTTGATTTGCTTCTTAATTAATGGTGACTCAAAATTTGTTGATGAAAGTTTCAGAGTCGATTCCACCGTTGTGTTAAACGGAGATTAAAATGACATTGTTAATGTAAAAATGTCATTTTAAACTTCGTTTAACACAACGGTGGAATCGGTCCTTAGTACCTGAAGGAATTGCTATACTAAAAACATTCAAACATTATTGGTTCTCCTAATTTATTAACACCCCTTACCTCTCCTTTTATATTTGAAAACACAAGCTTTTTCCTAAAAATAGAGATATTAATCTATTTCTCTCTAATTAGAATTTTGGATTCGAGTTTCGACCATATTATCAAGAGGCTGTTCCAACACGTGCAAAAACCGTAATATTACCGTACAAATCATGCGCTGTATACAATTTTAGGGGAGAGCGCACGATTTGTACGGTAATATTACGGTTTTAGCGCGTGTTGGAACAAAGCTAAGGCGACACAAACATTGTTTACTGTCCTCTCTGTAATTCTTTACTCTGGGACCAGAAACGGGAATGGAAAATCTAAAATGTCAAATGTCATGTCACATGTAAGTTTTGTTATTGTATTTTCAGTAAAAAAGTAAAATTTCTTTAAACTTTTAAATTATTTATAACATAAATAGAATGTTTGTTTAACTACTATTGACATTGTGAAAAAAGAGAAAATATAATTTCGATTTTACGTGGTAAAAAGGTTTTAAGTATAGATCTGAATGCTTAATTCTGAATTAAATACCATGTCTGGGAAAACGACTATAAAAGGTAATCCATCGCAATATGTAAAGCTCAACGTAGGGGGTTGCTTGCATTACACAACCATTGGCACCCTTACAAAGCAAGATACCATGCTTAGAGCCATGTTTAGTGGCAGAATGGAAGTTCTTTCTGATTCCGATGGTAAGCATTTTTCAATCAAGAGAAAACAACTTATTTTAAAATCTACTAAAGCAACAAGTAATGACTTATCTTGCCTAGAAGCACTCTACAGATAAGAGCTATTAATAGACTCGTTTTCTCATTTAGTCTCCCTTCACTAGAACTTCTGTGCGAGTTACTGTGGTTATTATGTTACTTTATTTAAAAAGATAGTTCTCTATTTTAGGTACAGTCAATTTAAAACCCTTAAAATTAGACTAGATAAATTTCAAAAATTATTGGCAGATTTTTCCATTTTTTTTTAGATTTTGGTTTTAAATGTGTCATTAAATTTTCTAGGTTGGATACTAATCGACAGATGTGGCAAACATTTTGGTACAATTTTGAATTTTCTTAGAGACGGCAGTGTCTCTCTGCCAGAATCTACAAAAGAAATTGCTGAACTTTTAGCAGAGGCAAAATATTATTGCATAGCAGAGCTTGCAGAATCTTGTAACAAAGCCTTGGCAAAAAAAGAAAGAGGAGAATTGGAACCTATTTGTAGAGTACCTTTAATAACGTCCCAAAAAGAAGAAGAAACATTAATAAGTTCAACTACAAAACCTACTATAAAGTTACTAATCAATAGGCATAATAATAAGTATTCATATACCACAGCTTCTGATGATAATCTTTTGAAAAACATTGAACTGTTTGATAAGTTGAGTTTGTGGTATAGTAACAGAGTTTTGTTTCTAAAGGATGTTATTAGTACCAGTGAAATTTGTTGTTGGGTCTTTTATGGACATGGCAAAAAGGTAAAAACAAAATCACGTTTACTTCTTAAAATATCTTTAGAATTCATATTTTTAAAATAGAAAAATGAAATATTAACTAATTGAGTATACCTTTTAAATGATACTTTGATTTTTAAAACTTTTAGTTTGATATACATACATACCTTTACAATACAATATCTTTATTTACCTGAGAAAATATTACATTTTATGGCTTGTCAAATTACAATTAAAACTATATATATATATAAAAATTTACCTAAATATAAAATTGGATTTTACAAACATTTACAACATAGTTCACTGAATCACTCAGAGGCCACAGTGACAGCCTCCATCCTCCATCTGTATTGATTTAAATTCCTCTAAGCTATATAGGCAATTATTGGATAACATTTGTTTTAATGCATGTTTAAATTTATCTATAGGCTGATTTGTAAAATTAAGTGGTAGTATATTGTATAGCTCAATATAATATTTCTTTGTCCTTTCCAGTCTATACTGGATAGGGACTAAGTTATCTTTGTGCCTTGTATTATAGTTATGGATATCTGAGTGGGAAAAAAATGTGTTAATATTATTTCTTACGAATAGAAGGTTTTGATAGATTATTACTGCATAGAGTGTCATAATTTTAAGTTCTGGGAATACTGGTCTACAACTGGCTTGCCAAGAAGCAAGTGTTATGGCTCTTATGGCTGATTTTTGCAAAATAAAGACTCTTGAGATATGTGTGTCAGCAGCATTGTCCCAACATATTGTCCCGTATGTCAAATGACTTGAAATAGAGCATAGTAAACAGTAATTGCTGCATCTTGACCACATATTTGGCGTATTTTCCTGATAGCAAAAACTGCTCATTATAATTTGGAACAAAGTGCTTCAATATGATCTGTTCATCTGAAATGTGGATCAATTTGAATGCCAAGTGTTTTAAAAGAATTGTTATTAACTTGTTCACTATTTACTGTAAATAATTAGGAGATAGTTTTTGTGTCATTTAAAAACAGGTTGTTTACAGAAAACCACCTCTTTGCCTGAATCATGACATCAGAGTAAACTTGATCATGATCTGTTCCTCTTTTAGTATTAATACAAAAAGAAGTATCATCAGCAAATATACATGTGATAAGATTTTCAAAATGCATATGGTCAGGAAGATCATTAATTTATATCAAAAAGAGTAATGGACCTAAAATTGAGCCCTGAGGGACACCTCTCCTGATATGCATCAATGAACTTTTGCAATTTTCTATGATGACTGTTTGATATCTGTCAGTTAAATAAGTTTCAAAATGTGTAAACAAATCCCTCGTACTCCATACCTCTCCAGTTTTGATAATAGAATTGAATGACCCACACAGTCAAAAGCAGAGCTTAGATCTGTAAATACACCTAAACAGTTTTCAGCTTTTTCAAAACAATTTTCTATATATTGTACTAGAGATAATACTGCATCTATTGTAGATCGCCCCCTTCTAAAACCATACTGGAATGGCGTAACTATGTTGGAAGAATTTAAATATGATATTAGATTATTATACATAATTTTTTCCAAGATTTTGGAGAATATGGGAAGTACAGCAATTTATCTGAAGTTGCAAGGCTGAGAAGGGTCTCCTTTTTTAAATAGAGGACAGACCTTAGCAATTTTCATGCTATCAATCAGGAAATATTCCTTCAGTTAGACATGGTCAAAAAAATGTAATAGAATGATTGGAATATTACGTAAAAAGGGGCTGATTGTAACAGTCGAAAAAATAAGATAAACGTGTCTCAAACGCGCTTACCTTCTGTGTTGCATCATATTGTTCGTCGGATGAAGTAGGTGGTAGTATTAGTCCAGTAGCCAAGACCGGGCCCGGTTACACAGTTTATATAATAACGTTTATTATACAGGATTTTATAATAGCGGATTTAACGGCACATACACACCACAAAGCGTTATCGTCGCGGCAATTGCTGTAGTTGTTCTTCTCGTCCAACGGCGCTTCACTTGTCTTACAGTCAGACGAAGCGCATGTGTGGGCCAAAGTTTTAAGTAAGCGATTTGAGACAAAGCGCGAATATTTAAATAATAAAATAGGAATTAATTCATTCTGGAACACATTTATAATTTTAGTTAAAGGTTTAGACAAAAAAGAAATACATTTTTTCACTTGTCTACACACAACAAAAATGTTTAATAAGTTATAACCACTGATTGTGATCATGAAATTATTTTATTCCACAGTTATAATACAAAACTATGCTTTCTCAGCTATGTTGATAATTCCGATGGCACAAAGTAATCATTTCCTTATAAGGTCCTTATCTAATAACACAAAGTAGTCACTTATTGATTATTTTTATAAAATTATGTGCCACTAAATATTGAACATTATTTAGAAGATAGCTATCATTTTAATTTTATAAAATAGAAAAATTATAGTGTTCAACTCACAAGTAATGCTCGTTTTCTACTCCTATGATTTGCCTGTGACTCTTGCTGTAAATATCATAACTATCATTAAGTAATATCTATTATAATAAGAAGAACACCGCTGCGTCATAACTATTATTTCGAATTTCCAATATATATCTATAACTATCAATAAATAAAGAATATGTGAATTGTTTGGTTTAAAAATATTATTTACCTTAATAATTTTATTGTAGGTTTCTGAAGTTTGTTGCACATCAATTGTATATGCCACAGATAAAAAACATACTAAGGTAGAGTGCCCTGAGGCTAGAATTTACGAAGAAACTTTAAACATACTTCTGTATGAAAGCCGCAATGCCCCTGATCAAGAATTAATGCAAGCTACATCTACAAGAGGTGCAGTGAGTGGCATGTCGTCTTATACAAGTGACGAAGAGGAAGAAAGAACAGGTAAAGCACGTCATCAATTATAGTTGTGCCATTGTGCTATTCCAAGCATATTCCTAAGTATCTGATCTTAAATATGTTCATATACATATACATATACATAATTTAAAACTCTTACACCCGGTTGCAATAATGCTTGTTAAATCTCTCAATAGCTAATTTATTCCATAACTTTATTAAAATGTGTCTAATTTGAAGTTCATGTCATTTAGATTCTCAAGCCCTGTCAAAAGTTTATTGGCCTCATAAATTTTAATGAACATTGTGGCAACCGGCTATTAGCAATGCTTTTATTTTATTTTTTTTATTTTTTTTTTATTTTTAGTTCGTCCATAAGTTATGGTTGGAAATAGTCTAGTTTTTAATTTATTGCTTTATTTATAAAATGCCTAATTTTTAATGGAATTTCTTTGACAAACCTTTAATAATTCAATTGTTATTTAACTGTGATTTTATTGTAATTTTATTTCGTTTAATTTATTTTATTAAGTATATTATACTTTTGTCCTGTAGATAATTTTTTGATAGTTTTCTGATGTGTTAAATTGTTTTTTTTTGTTAAATAAAGAAATAAAATGTTGTAGTGATTCTGATCATTTTATTTTTCAATAATTCCTCTATTTAAACAAATTATATTTATTTTTCCTACATGAGGTTAAAAAACGGTATTTCTTTCCTCAAAACAGTGAAATCCGACAACCGGGGGTTGATAATTAATTTGAATAATTCTTATATATTACATATTATATTCAAATTTTTATTTCGAATTCAAACAACATCCCAGCGTATCCCGCCTCGTAGGCGCCGTTTAATTACTTCTGGGAAAAGCCGTCTACGTGTCGATTCTCACGACCGCTAGCTAAAAAACACATGTAGACCGATAAGGGTTATATTCAAGAATTAATACAGGGCTTTATAGTTTTTATACACCGAAGTCACAGTCGTTCTCTTTCTGATACATTTGCATATATGGGAAATTTATGTATAAATACCCGGGTTTTTGTGGGCTGGGGGGACATTAACTTTTTCTTCTTCACCAAGTCAAGTTAACAAAAAACGCAAATATCCACGTTACCGCCACGGTGACTCCTTTTTCTTTATATTCTTCAAATATAATTAAAAAGAGATATCGCTACCCTTACGGTGGCCGCGCTTTTGTTATATTTTGACAACGGAAATAAAAGGTATCGACGGAGTAGAAAAATTAGTTTCTATAAACGACGGCTTCTGCATTGATATCCAGTTGTCCTTAGGATGACCACCTTTTTCTTATATTTTGTATATAAGTAAAAGGAGATATATAGTCAGGTTGACCAAGCAGATACACGTTGAATAGAACCAGATTTCGCTCCTAGAACTGTTTTGTAAGGTTGTATCTACCTATCGACTAAAATATTGGCCTAACTGATACTGGTGATACCACGCTAGTCTAGTTAAACGCCAGATATTTTGTATCTCCGATTCAACATTATAAAATGTTACTAAATGATTAAAAGTACTATTCTAGGCGACGTTCGTAGTGGATTTCGTCACCCTTCAGGCTGACCCGACGAACTTGCGCCCGGTAGACCTTTTTATCAGCGGTATACTTTATTTTCTGTAAGGTTTCTTTTACGTAGAATTAAAACGATAATCGCACTATTAAAGTAATCAAACTAGTATTTAATATTCAGATATTCCGGGGGAGATTAGACTAACATTAATGGGTTACAGGTATCACTTTATTACTTTTATATTCATTAGTGGGAAAAATCGCGTCTGTGTGTTATTGTCATATTTTTGGTATTCATTGATAAACGTTTATTGTGGGAAAACTTACAGGGTTTTATATTGTGCTAAATTATACTATTTAGAGAATCGATAGTGATGTTGTTGTCATACATATTAATTGTTGTAAAGTCGGTCAACGCTCTCAAGTAATAAATTAAGTCATTTAGATTTATGGCCAAAGGGCCGAATTGTAAAGCTTTGGGTTGTCTGTAAACAGTACCTGCTCCTTTCGGTAGAGAGGAAACGCACTTTCGGTTTTATTTTTAAATGGCAAACAGATGTAGATGGTAAATGCCTTGATTTGTATATATGTTAAAGTTAGATTGCGGTTAAAAAAAATATGTTTTCTGTCGTTCTTTGTAAAACAAAATTGGGTAGACAAATGTGTCATTTTAGCCGTAAGGAGTATTAGTTTTGTGTATCGATTTTTCGGGAAAAGGGAGATATGTACAGCGGCGGGTAGAATCATGAATATTGATGAGGGTCGTATTTATTTGTACATATCCACATATCTTTAGTGGGACATTACGCGGAAGTAGTCGGTATGTTTATTTATTTAGAATAAATAGGTGAAATTTTGTTTGTGGACTAGCTAACGTATCCTCAGAACTGTGATTAATAACACTGATTTGTCAATCGACAGAGCAAAAGAGCATCGCGCCGAAAAAGAAACCTTAGGCCACCATAGACCGCCAGGGACCTCAATAGTAAGGGCCTAAAAATGGTATTTCCCTTGCGGCTATGTAAATTAAAGCCTAAAAGAGGCTTGGATGGATCTCTACTGAGCAGTGTTGCCAACGGTTCCCCAGAAAATTACTGGCAAAATGGTATCAAAAGGCTGGCAATTACTGGCAAAATATTTTCGATTACTGGCAATATAGCATGTTAAATTTTTCTAGTACCTAGGAGCAGCCCTGGCCAAAAAAAGTGCAATCCACTACGGTATTTATATCAAATTCCTTTAAATTTAGATAAAAAAAAGTTATAAAGTTCTTCTTCTTTGACGTTCGGTGGCCTTAACTACTTTGAAATGATGGGGTTGATATTAGTGTAATGCTTAACTACCTTGATTATGGCACTGCTGCTAGGTAATTAGCTAGCACAATTTGGTGGTGGCTTCTATATTGCTGAAGCAAAAATAAAATGTTTTGTATTAGGAATATTTTTGTGATGGTACTTATTAGACATTCTGATAGTCACTGTAAGTTCATATATAATAGTGCATATATATATAGCTGAAAGACATAACAAACAAATGAATTTGTAATTTTTTTTTATTTATAGCATTAAAAAATCTAAACAGGAACAACTAATAACAAATTATATTTTATAAATAAAAATATAAATACCCTACAATCATATATAAGTTATCTTAAACAAAATCTAGACAATTAACGTTAAGTTTAAAAAGGGCGAATGCCTCTATTTAATTATTTTTTCTAGATGGAGCTTTGTAACATTTTAGTATCAGGTTGAAACTTTAAACATCTACCTTGATTTTTTATTCCGTCTTTTGTTGCTTACAACGCAACTACAGTGTCAGTCTTTAAACGATTTCGATGTTATCAGTCTAAGTTATGTAAAATTAACAAAAAGAAAATGACTGCAAGTTTTTAAATAATTCACAATTGGCGGCATTTTTTAACTGAAATATTTTGGACCAGTATTGTTCAGCTGGCAAATCAACAGATATATTAAACCTGTCATAATCTAACAATGGGTGGTCTCGCCATTCATTATCCACTTCTTGAGGACTAACAATAGCTTTTAAGATTGGAAATCGGTGCAAAATAGGGTATAATGTTTTGATTTCATAGTTTTGTGCAACTTTAGATTCTATTACTGAAATTATATTAAAAAGCTCTTCATTAAAAGTAAAACGGGTGTGACACTAGTGCAACAAATAAAATCCATTATAAGATACTAGAAATGATACCTCGAATCGAAAACCGATACATTTTTTAACGAAAAAATTGGAGAATTTTAAAATACTGGAAAATTACTGGCACAAAGTCATTACTGGCAAGCTTCCTTTTTACTGGCAAATGCCAGTAATTACTGGCAGATTGGCAACGCTGCTACTGAGATACCCCAAAAGTGGGCCTGACGGGCATCCCCCTTTGTATCAGGTGTTCTCCGATCGACTGTTCAGTGTTTTCCATACAGGGGGTCAATTCTCGACTCGTAGGAATATTTTCCTATAGGAATATTTGACATTTTTATATATATATCGAAAATTTATGACATTTTCCTACATATAGGAAAGTGTCACAAATTCCTATAGGAAAAGGTTCCTACAAGTCGAGAATCGACCCCCAGGACTGAGTGTCAGTACATTACGGCATTGGAATATTAAAGAAAGGCGTGACGCACGGTGAGGTAAATCTACACTCCGGTGTTTACACATATTAGAAATATTATTTTAACCGACTTCAAAAAAGGAGGACGTTCTCAATCCGACGCAATATTTTATATCTCACAACACTCCTCGTGCTACCGCTGTACTCTCTTTTATTAGACAATGCGTAATTCAGTATGTCCGTGAAAACGTGTGATTGTATATTCGGAGACAAACAAATATGCCAAAGTACTTCCGACTTTTATTTTACCCTTTTATGGGAACTAAAAGCTCTGAGGTTAGAAATGACACATTGGAAAGCCTACATAAACATAATGTTAAGCCTAAAAACGGCACATAATCTAAATGTCCGGTTGTACAAAAGAATAGATGTTAAATAAATAGTATTCCAAATTAATCTCGGTGTTTCCTTTGTTCTTCCTCCATTACAGCTACATTGAACTCTAAACGTAATTCTGGGGGATCCACTAGACGAAATTTAGGCCAAGGTAAAGTGTATTTGGAAAACTAGGTTAGGGCCCGGTTTGTCAAGTTACAACAGCACTATGCTATATGAAGAGATCAACTGCCGATCTAGCATATGAAATTATCAAACATCATCAATATGTTACATGACTGTTAGTAGAAATGATGATAAACAAATCTATGAATTTGTCTGAAATAAATCATCATCATATTTTCAAATAATTATATTTCATTACCATATATTTAAAGATATTTTTAAAACAATTGTTTTCAAAATGTATTCAAAGTATACAGGGTACAATATCTGTTAAGCTACAACTATAATTTTGCTTTTTTTTTAATCTGTTTTCAAAGCGAGATGTATATCAGAAAAGGCCACAATTTAAAAATAATTTCATTCATACAGGGTTTTCCACAAAAGATTCTTATTAAAGTCAGGTTTTTTATTAATGGGACTCTGTATTTTATATTTGAATTGCCCTACTTTTCCATTTATAACAATACCAAATAGTATGGGATTACATAGGGTATTTCACACGTTAATGAAAATCGTATTGATTTCAATGACCTGTATACATGCCAAAGAAGACAGCAGATCACCTAGTGAATTTTGAGTTGAAACATGCCATATTTAGACTATTTTTATGCCCTATTCAAACATTTTATGCTCCTCGTTTTTTTACAAAAATCAAGGTGCTCTGCTAGCTTTGAACAAAGCCATCAGAGGATAATATCTATTTTTTTAGAGACAGCCATTAGAGCTGGGTAATTACATGTACTTTAAAAATAATTGCAATTACAAAGTACTTTTTCAAAAAAGGAAATGATTACAAGTACAAATTACATGTTGTAAAAATAGGAATTATATTGATTTAATTACAATTAAATGAAAAAAGGAATTAGCAATTACCCAAACACACCAAATCCCAGAGATATCCACAGAATATCTTTTGTGGATATCGAATATATCCACAGGATATCAGAAATATTCC